CTTTCAACTTTTACGACATCCAATTATGGCTTTTTGGTCAAGCCAGCCCTTTCCAATGGGGTCAAATTCAAGCCAATCTTTGGCTTCAGTCCTCTACCCTCTATATCGAATACATAAAACATATCAAGGGTTTCCTTAAACTTCAATAGCCCTTCTGACTGCCAGCTACCCTGTTGCACCTACTCGCACATATGTTCCCTGTGCAGCTATAGTCACCCAATTAACAACTGCTACACACGTCGCACACTCCGGAATTCATCCCTTTCTATAGCTCCTTCCCCTCACTCCGCAACACACTCTTCGGTTTCTCAAGCACCTCAACCCTCACGTACGCCTCCCACTCCTGTAATACCCCAATATTGCCCACAGCTTCAGCACAGACAGAAGGTCAATTTTTCGCATCCTGTTATTCCTTTCACCGCAGAAATACTAACAACGTCCCACAACACAGACTTGAAGACATGCTGAAAGATTACGATCCAACGGAACTTCAATGTTTAATCACAGGTTTCTCTTTCGATTTTCGCATCCCCTTTTTAGGTTAAAGAATTGCCTCTATCGCCAATAATCACCCATCTTGTGTACTACACATGGATGTTTTAGTTAATAAAATTAACGATGAGCTACATGCAGGCCAAGTCATGGGTCCTTTTTCTTAGTTCCCTTTCCCAAACTTAACAAGCTCCCCTCTTGGTATTGTTCCATACATTGAACCAGGGCCCTTCGCATGATTCATGGCCTCTCCGTAAATTCAGATATTAATCCTGTTTTTACTGCTATTTCCTGTGATTCCAATGACAGTGCTGTTAGTTTGGTCAATAATTTTGGTCCAGGGGCTCTTATAGCGAAAGCTGACACAGAAAGTGCTTTCCAGTTGATTCCAATCAATCCTACAGTTGCTAGGGTTTCTCTTTGCCTTGGTGGGCAATGTTATTATCTCAGATTGAGCTGCAAAACATTCAAACGACTCAGAACAAAAATAAGTATCTATGCTCTGTTAGCCACATAATCGACGACTTTTTCTTCATTGGTCCTGCAAACTTCATGAAGTTCCAACATTCACTCACAATCTTTCTGAACCTTGCCTTATTTCTTGGTATCCTTAAAAAAGATTCCTGAACCGTTGCTCCCACGACAGTTATTACAATATATGACATTGATGAGGTGGATTCAAATACTACGCCCTATCGTTTACCTTCTGATAAGGTGTCCATAATCCGTTCAGCCCTTTCATGGACACTTTCCTGGAAGAAAGTATCTCTTCATGAACTACAATCCTTTCTTGGTTTGCTTAACTTTGCCACCTTAGTTGTCGTTCCTGGCTGTACATTCCTTCGTAACTTATACAATACGACTTGACCCGTAATGTAACTAAATCTTTCCATAAAATTTGTTTTATGAATTCTGCCAGAGCTAACCTTAAGTGATGCTTGGATTGGGTCTGGTCACATTAAGTTTTTTTCCGACACATCTTCAACCTAAGGCTATGCTGCTGTTTAGATCACTGTAGTTTGTGGGTTCCTGGCCGGAATCGATGCAGTCTCTTTGCATTAATGTTATAGAGCTCTTCACAACCCACTTGCAATTGAACATTGGGGCCATTTACTGTGCAACCGTGAAGTCCTTTTTCTGACCTTGTGAAGTCCTTTTTCTGACGGATAGTGAATGTGTGGTCTATGTTCTCAACAAAATGACTTCTAAATGTCCTCACTGGATCCAGCACCACAGTCAATTCACCCAGACTTGATCAAACTTTAAGAATATCTTACTCCGTGCAAAACACATTGCTGGAAAATCGAACCTAATTGCTGATCACTTAACCTGTTTTTATTTTCAGCAAGCCAGAATAACGGCTCCTTTACTGGATCCAGCACCACAGCCAATCCACCTAGACTTCATCAAACTTTAAGAAACACCGCTGCCAACCTTATGGATGTTAGTTTATTAGCAGTCTCCCAATCATTTTAGACTTTTGCACAGACCAACATTTGGCTCCATCCTTTCCCATCCTAACCATTGTAAACACTAATTTTATTGCCCACTTGTTTGATTTAGGTTACTCCCCATCAACACTATGTTCTTATGCCTTTGCTCTAGCATTTGTCCAGAAATCCTTAGGCTATACAGACAATATTAATTTCTTTTCTCAACACAACCTCTTACGTGAAGCACGTCGACCCCAGTCTGATAAACATTTACCAATTACATTACCAATATTACAACACCTCTTGCACGTACTTCCACCTTCCATTCCACTCTATGTACATTGCATCCTTTTACGAGCTATTTTCTACCTCGCTTCTGTGGGGTTTTTTTCGTCTAGGTGTATTAGTGTTTAAATCAGCTTTACACATGCATAATATCCTTTGCGTTGACAAAATTCAATTTACACTTCATGCTTCGACAGATAGCTATGCATCATTATAAACATAAAACCACATCTTCACTAACTTGATTATTTCCTAATTGTTCTGGAAGAATCATTACTTGTGCCCCTGCAACTTTGGGTCATATTTACAAGTTACACACACTCCTCCGGTCCATTATTTCAATTTGCATATGGCTCCCCTGTTAATTACAATTTTGTCAATTCTAACTTACACAAACTGGTAACATTCCTTGGCTTTAATCCTGAGCAATAGAAGCTTCACTTTTTCATAGTGGAGCTTCTACAACAACATTTATGGCTCATACGAAGACCAGATTCGTGTTTTACGTCGGCGGAGGAGCTCAGCTGTTCAATCCTTTATCAGATTATCTTCTTTATCCTCTTGACTTCTGACTAACTTACCCTGGCGGTCAGCGTAAATGAAATGAAATGGGGTTTAACGTCCTACTGTTCTGCTCCTATACTGGGCTAATGAAGACGGGTATACGCCATACAGTGTGCTATGAGGGAAATTTTGCCCGGGCAGCGGCACTATCGCCTACTCTTATATCGAATTCCAACTGCCAAGGGATCTTTTACGTGCATTCCAATGTTTACACGGGACCTCATTTTTTCGTCTCATACGAAGGACTAGGCAGCTATCCGTGTTAGGCCCTCCGTCCTGCATCACTGACAAGGGGAAACCACGTCGGAAAATCGGGATGAACTTTCTCGGCCAATGCAGGGATCGAACACCCGACCTCCAGGCTAGCGAGCCAGCGCCTTACCCACCTAGCCACCGTGGCTCCCGGCGGTCAGCGTAGGTTGGTCAGTTGTTTAGTTGAACTTTTGGATTTTAGGTTGCTGGAGAAGCTGTACTGTTATTCTATACCAGAGTACCCTCTTTATCCCCTTAACTTTCTAATTAATTCAACCTATTGTTAGTGTAGGCTGGCCGTGGACAGTTGGTTAGTGATCTTTTGGGTTCAATTTTGGTACCTCGTGGATAACTACTTTCTCCCTTGTGTTGGCCAACGCCCAACACCCATTCAGTATTATTTTTCACAATGTTTTGCATATTGTTCATTAATTTCACTTATAACATCATTTCATTCTAATTTTGTTATAAATAAATGACCATCATTTTATCAAATGGCATTTTCACAACATCAGTGTTTTGTTGATTTTCTGATTTGGCTAAAAGATACAAATGAATATTATGATAAATATTTTGTTTTGTGTCGATGACGTTATTTGTTTATCCAGTACTATATAGCTGGTAATCGTATACTTTTATTGCCATCCTTTCCTCCCATGATCCTTTATTCTTGGTTTCAATCTTTCGGCGATTGACATATTTTGCTAGAGCCACTTTAATCAGTTTGCTGACTCAAAAACCCACCACCTCCCCTGCACCACCCTATTTCTCGGTATGGCACTTATCCCTTGTAGGCCTATGTTAGATATGCTATCCGTGTAGGTTTGTAGTGTCATACTTTGTGTTATATGATATTTATAACTTAGTCATCAGTGCATGTTTGTTTATTTTACTATATCATATAGGGTTTTATATGCTGCTTAATTTTGTTTTAATCCACAACAATTTGTCCATTTAATTTTTATCATTATTATTGTATTACCATGTATTAATATTAATCATCATTATTATGACCTTGATTGTGGCCATTTCATGATTGTTTTGTTAAACCCAACACTCATTCAGTATTATTTTCCATAATGTTTTGCATATGTTTCATTAATTTTAGAATTTGACTTATAACGTCATTTCATTCATTCATTTTCTCAGCATCAGAGAGAGAGAGAGAAATGGGGTTTAACGTCCACTCAACACAAACTAGGTCATTTTGGGATTAACACATGGTTCGATTTTATTTCAATAATTCGCTTGCGCGTATTGGTCTTTAGCAGTGGGATCATTCAAGTGAAATGCAATTATCTGATCAATCATGGTACTACAATTCAAAATCTCCTATACCACCCCTATTCCCAGCAGAACTCTAGAACGTTCATCTGACAACACTTGGTGGTGGGTCTCGCACTAACAATCTATGTGAGTCTTGGAATATCACACCCCACAATCTGGCGGGCTCTCGAAGATCTCCGTCAAAACGTTTTGACGGTATCCCGACACAATGACAGACCTTATGATACAGCGTGCACATGCTAACCATTCAGCCATCCACCCTACCCCCATTAACATCAGTGTTTTCTTGCTTTTCTGATTTGGATAAAAGACACAAAAATGTTCAATCGTCAATTCTAACTAAACTTATGACCATTTAACATTTACACTGATTTCTACTGTTTTGGCACTGCCTTTCTTATTAAATATGCCTATTAATTTAGAAATTTCAACAGCTGAAGCTCTGTCATGCATAACTTTTTCCTTGTTTATCCCTTGATAAATTAAACAAACGCCAAATTGTTTGTCAAGTAATTTAAGAACCTGAGTTTTCAAAGGCTGTATTTGAGAAATGAGAGTTTGGAGTAAGCTGTAAATAACATGCTTTTACTTCAAGAGAAGATTGAGTATGATTTGTTTAATAACAATGCTGTTCCCCTACTTCACAACACACACATAGGATTAACTTATATTTCTTTGTGTACGAACCTGATTTAGTTTGGTTTGAACAACAGTAACCTTCATCATAATAATCGCCATTAGTTGAAGCTATCTTCTGTAGATTACAAGAGTATCCAGTTCCACATGGCACACCTTGTCCACATCGAATATAACTTGTTCCATTCTTCAGTGGCTCACCAATTGGACACATATCTACAAATACAATAGAAAATTCCAAATAAAGGGGATTATCTAAAGTTTATCAGTCCAGCATTCAGTATAACTATGTGTTTGCTTTTCATGATCATTGTGCTGTGTCTAATGATTCTTTACTGAACTTAGACTGTGATGACAAAGTTATATTTCAATCATTTATTCCATTTTATGTTGGTATAAAGACATCCATTTAAAACGCGTGTTCAGTAATGTACAGCTTGTGCCAAGGAGAATCATGATCAACATTCTAATCAAATTTCATGAGACAAATTCTAAGAAATCTTTTGAGAGGTTTTCATTGCCCTGACATTAGATTGGCTATTTTGATGTTGTCACACACTGACAACATACCTTTTGTAATAAACATTTAGTTTTATTTTAATTAGAGAGGCAGTATATATCTAATTGTACAAGAGAGAGAGAGAGAGAGAGAGAGGGAGAGAGAGAGAGATTAAATATACCTAGTTACGTCTTTTGGACCTTGGGTCGAAACACGTTTTGTTTCTGTAAGTGTTTTTATTATTTTTTTTTGTGGAATTTAGTCAGTTTGTGAAGCCAAAACTGTAAATGGTGCAAACATTCTGCCAACGTAGATGTCGTTGACCTCCGTGCGTCTATTTATTAAATATTAACTGTTTTAGGGATGGGACAAAAATAATCCCAGATTGCCCATATATCTTCGGGTTTTCATTTTGGGATTCTTTGGACAAATCCTATATGGGCTCTGACTGACGGTTTTTCGAACTTCTGAATTTCGAAAAATCGTCAAAGATTTGCGGAAGTTTTCTTCGTCATTTTTCCGACATTCAAGATAGCGTATCCCCGTCACTATTTGAGGTATCAAGTTGAATCTTGGTAGAAATAAGGAACACATCGATACCTTCAAAATGGTATATTAAAAAATTTTGTAACGACGAGGCCTTCCGATTTTTCCCGAACATGAATAATTCTCTCCATTTTAAAAATAGACAAAAATTGACATATGGTTGAGTTAGCCCCAGATATTATCTTTCATTTTCAAAGACCTTGTTCCATAACATTTTCAACTGCTTGGCCGCCATATTGGATTTTACAAAAAACATTTAAATCCATATTTAGCCTCCATTTTGATTCCGATTTTCCACCCATTTTTTGTTTATTTTGAACCTACTCGAAAGGGCAACAATTCTTAGGGAGCCGATTTTTTCATTTCGATTTTGTTTACTTCCAGTTTCACTTTGAATTTTGTTCGACTTTTCAGCTTCCATCTGGTGACTTAACCTTTTAATGGCCCTTGAACTTTGTATATATGATGACTCTTGTGTCTACTAACAATTAATATAAAAGAGTACGGTCTGACAGGTTTTTCCACTTTAATAGGTATTGGATGTTACTATACTCAATAATTCATAAAGTAACTTGATTGTTGACGTGACAAGGCGGGACCTGGCGTGACATACCGAAACACGTCAGTACTCTTTGGAGTTGTAGTTTTATACATATTATCATTATTAACACTATTATCAATTGTTGTTTTTAAGATTAGTTATCCCTAAGTATACACCATGTACATTCAATGTAGTTGTCACGTATGACAACATCTTTATTAAATAAGCCAACAGTGAGGCTGATGTCCCCCGCCGAAATCCCAAAATAAATAGATGACACATATTAATTAATCGCGCATTTATTTTTTTTCAAAAGTATCAAGCAATCAAACTGATTATTAACTATACACTAAGTTTTATCACTCTCGATCAGATAGAACCAAAGTTATCTTGTCCCAAAGCATCAACCAATGAAATTGCTTAGCTCTGTTTAGCTTTAGCTTGAAATATTGATCATTGAACTCAGTCAAGACATTCACCTAATGAACATCTACGTCAAGTTAAAACATTCTACCTCAATTAAAAGCAGAGTTGTTATCTTCCAAAGTCTTGACCAATCAAATTGCTTATCGCTCCTTAGCCTAAGCAGAAAATACTCAGAGTTTCATCACTCTCACTTAATTATAACCAACATTATTGTGCCCCAAAGCATCAACAAACCAGATTGCTTATCTCTGCTTACCGTAAACAGACAATGTTTATCACCGAAATCCATCAATGCATTCACCTAATGAACGCCTACACCAAGTTTGAACATTCTAGCTCAATAAGAAGGAGAGTTATTGTGTTCCAAAGTCTCGACCAATCAAATTGCTTATCGCTCTGCTTACCCTGAGCAGAAAATGCTCATTATCGAACTTAGTCATGGTATTGATGTAATGAAACTACTCTCGCTTAATCATCAGAACGAAAGTTGTCGTGTCCCAAAGCATTAACCAATCAAATTGCTTATCTCTGCTTAATCTAAGCAGAAATACTCATCTTCGAACCCCATCAAGGTGCTATTGCACTTTCGCACCTCTACCAGATAGTTTTCGTATATTTTAACTTCTGCGCTAATCACCATTTTTTATAAACGACTATTTGGCGATGACTAGTTGGATTGGCCTTTACATGTGAATATCGCTGTGACCTTGACGCTGACCCTGACTTCAAATTTCCCATCGAGATCGGGACCTTTGCACTTACATTTGCTACGCCCCTATTTCTTGCTGTAACTGTGAGGTTAATGTCCGGAGTTTAAAGCATGCAACTCAAACTTTTCAAAGTCAGTTTTTGAACATTTGATCTTGGCTTAGGACCTTCACTCCGTAACCATTTAAAATTGCCATCATCGACCTTTACCAGTGTGACAGTTTTTATTGACTCCCTGTGTGTTTGCCCCTGGGCACTTGCACATGTTCGAAACTGTTGTTTGCATTAACAACGAAGCTATATCTACTTACGGTGGTGTGATTAGTTCAGGAAAAAGTATTACGTATACCAAATGACAAAACCCTAACCAATAGAGATTTGTCATTAATAATCATACTCTTATCTGATTAGCTGTTGTTTTAGTGATTAGTAGTTACACCGTACACGATCAACAGATCTATGTTGTTTAGCTTGAAATTGATATTTCTATCGTTCGTGATTTGTTGCCGTTGTTTTTTTTTTAGTGATTAGTCGTTACACTTTTTGATGTTTTAATAATTAACTATTTTGCAGATTGAATATTGGCCTTTATATGATTGGGATTTCTCTGTATCATTGTTATTTTAATTTTGTACAACTTATTAAAATTTTTACAATGTGTTTTATTACTCAAACACAAATCCTTTGTCATGCAAACCATGGGATCTAAATCTGAAATTAAATCTGAAAACACCCATTTCTTGAACATGAATATATATTTATCAACCCATTCCATACATAGAAAAGAAAGTGGTAATAAATACTCCTTCTAAATTTGGGTTCAAACATGCATGCAAATTGCACAAGGGACAATTATTTTGTATTAAATTTTCGCATTGTGAACAGGAATATACTGAATAATAATAAAGATCGTCAATTTGTATTTCTACTTTTTATCGAAATAAACAAACAATAGAAACTCGACACCCTCTCCTGCTAGAAACCGATTTGAACATAAGAAAATCTTCGGAGAAAACCTATCACGGTCCAAGCCAAGATTATGGCCTTTTAAAACGGTTACAGAGTGAAGGTCGTAAGTGAAGGTCAAATGTCCATAAACTGCCTTTGAATAGTTCGAGTTTAGTTTTCCGTAATATGACCTTGACCCACGACTTTGACCCAATTAAATTTTCTGAGGGGCGTCGTCTCTGCTTTCACCTCGAACACTAACCTTGATAATACAGCAAGAAATAGGGCCATGGCGCACATAAACGCAAAGGCCCCGATATCGATGGGAACTTTGGAGTCAAGGTCAAAGTCCTGGTCACGGTTGGTTAGTGTTGATGACCGGATGTCACCACGACCTTTCATACTGACCATGCCCATTATCTTCCTTTCAAACACGGGCCCTCTGTGTTTGACCGTTTTCGGACCAAGCAGTGTGTGACAGGACAAAAGTAAACGTCGATGGTCCAAGCCAAGATGATGGCCTTTTAAAATGGATACGTGGTGAAGGTCGTAAGTGAAGGTCAAATGTCGAAAAACTGCCTTTGAAAAGTTTGAGTTCAGTTTTCTGTAACATGAACTTGGCCCACAACTTTGACCCAGTTATCTTTTCTGAAGGGCGTCGTCTCTGCTTTCACGGCGAACATTGACCTTGATAATACAGCAAGATATAGGCCCATGGCAAGCATAAACGCAAAAGCCCCGAGATTGATGGGAAGTTTGAAGTCAACGTCAAAGTAGAGGTCACGGTTGGTTAGCGTTGTTTACTTGAGGTCACCACGACCTTTCATATTGACCACGTCCATAGCTTTCCTTTGGAACACAGACCCTCTGCGTTTGACCGTTTTCTGACCAAGCAGTGTGTGACAGGACCAAGGTAAACGTCGATGGTCCAAGCCAAGATGATGGTCTTTTAGAATAGTTAAGGGTTGAAGGTCGTAAGTCAAGGTCGAATGTCCAAAAGTTGGTGTTGAAAAGTTGGAGTTCAATTTTCTGTAACATGACCATGACCCACTACTTTGACCCAATCATCGTTTATCAAGGGCATATTCTCTGTTTTCACCCCGGACATTAACCTCGACTATACAGTGAGAAATAGGGGCGTAGGACATATAAGCGCAAAGGTCCCGATCTCGATGGGAAATTTGAAGTCAGGGTCAGCGTCAAGGCTACAGCGATATTCACACGTAAAGGCCAACCCAACTAGTCATTGCCAAATATGTGATACAACCACAGGTTCAGGAATCACGGCAGCCCTCTGCCCGGTGTCGAGGGCAGACCCTCTCCCGAGGTCCGGGAGACCTCTCAGCCTCTACTCTGTACTTCCTCTGCCTGCTTGTAAACTAGTCTTTTTATATCGGTTAAGGCACGCCATAGTTAATACCATTAGTAATCAGAACAATGAAAAGTAATTATTAAGATTCACACATCTTAGCTCAAGACAAAAGGTCAGTGGCGGACCCAGGATTTATTCCAGGGGGGTGACTAAAAGAGGTCAGGGGCGAAGCGCGG